AGTGGAGAAGCTCAGGTACATTTTGGAAGTATTTTAAGTTCTTTTCTTGATATGCTTCTATCATGTATTGAAGAAGTAGGGTTTTGCAAATGCTTATTCCAAATCACTGTTTAAATATCCTATCTTGATTGGTGTTTGGCAAAAACATTTGACTGTGCCTTTATTCTTACTGTCTTCTTGCCCCTTTGGAGTTCTGCTTTGGGGCTTTTTTTCCATCAAGCTCACCGAATTTAGGTTTATTATGTCAGTTTCATTTACCTTTCCATCGGTAATTGTTTATTTTGGCATGAGTTGGGTTCTTGTTAATATGTTGATCTTATAGGCCTTCATTATGTTTATTGGCGTAGATATTTTGTTTTAGTAAATAGTGATTTGTTTATTGTTTTCAGACTCGCACGGATCGAATTGTTTTCAAACTCTTTGGGAAGGATCCAAATGATTTTCCTCTTGTTCTTCGATCACAGGTACTTTCTGTACTCTGAAATTTCTTTGAATAATTATGGCATTGTTTCTTTCTGCAACATTTGATTTGTGGTTTGTTTTGAGCACCAGATTCTCAGCTGGTTATCCCACAGTCCCACAGAGATCGAGAGCTATATTAGGCCAGGCTGTATCATATTAACAGTTTATCTCTGTCTAGAAAAATCTGCATGGGAGGAGGTATGGTTTTGTATGATGTCATGGATGTCCAATTCTACTGACATCATTGGAAACATTATTTAAATCTGCTCAATGCTATATGGCAATGCAGCTCTGCTGTAATTTAGGACTCAACTTGAAAAAGCTTCTTGCTGCATCAAATGATTCTTTCTGGACGACAGGGTGGGTGTATACAAGAGTGCAGCATTCTGTAGCTTTTCTGTACAATGGTCTGTTCTCTCTCTCTCTCTCTCTGTGCGTGTGCGTGTGCGTGTGCGTGTTGTCTTTTTAGTACAAAATACGAGCAGCAGCAAAAACTTCTATTATTTTCCTCTGTTAACTAGAATTATTATTTCTTTTATCTCTCCTGCAGGCCAGGTTGTCTTAGACGTTCCCTTGAGCCTTAGAAGCCCACAACACTGTAGGATTTCATGTGTTAAGCCACTTGCTGTTTCTTCAATGGCAAGCACTCAATTTCTTGTCAAAGGTGTCAACCTTTTCCATTCTAGCACAAGGTAAATCTCTGCTTCGTCCTCTACATTACCCGAGTTATCTCTTTTGCTCCTGCCCATAAACTTGACCGGATGGGTGATTGAAAGATAAGCTACGTTAATTTACATAATATTATATAAAATATTTATCTGGATGCCTAAATAGGTTTGAAAGTGACGAAAATGAAACATTACCTTAATTTCTTGGAAATAATATTGGTTTGCAAGTTGATTATGTACTTTTTTTTTTTCCTGTTTCTATAATTCAGTAAGTGGGGAAGTTCTGGATATTGTTTCAGGTGTCAAAACAAATGAGATTGGTTTAGAATTAATCCGTTCATGTTGTTTTCAGGTTACTCTGTGCACTTGAAGGAAAGTATCTCGCACAGTATAGTTGTTGTGACTTGATTGATGGTGTTGATCCAGCTATTGAACATGATGAGCATCAGTGCCTTGGGTTCGCTTGCACTATACCGAGTGTTACTGGGAGGGGATTTATTGAGGTAGCATCTTGCTCCCAACACCCCCCCCCCCAAAAAAAAAAAAAAAACGCGCCTTCTAATACATGTTTGCGTTTGCTGTGAAAGTGCTGTTTCTGCAGAAACCACGTTTTCATGATTTTCAATGCAGAAGTGAACATGCTGTTCTGTTTCTGCGGAAACCACATTTCTATGGTTTTCAATGCAGAAGTAAACATGCTGTTAAGTTAAACTGGATATGCTAAAAGATGCATAGATTAGCAAGATAATCAAAATGCATGTCTATATATGTGATTGTGACTCACTAAAGGCAATCTGTCCCTATAAAGCCTAGATCACCGAATATGGTTCCCCAGATCAAAATGCATGTCTGTATATGTGATTGTGACTCACTAAAGGCAATCTATCCCTAGAAAGCCTAGATCACCGAATATGGTTCCCCTGAGTACGACAATATGCAAGTGGAACATTAAAATGACACAAAAAGTATTGGCAAATAATTTCTTTCCATTTGCTAACTTGTGAAGGATGACTTTCATCCTCTAATTTGGCTATGTTGATCTTAGGTGGAAGATTTTGGTCTTAGCAGCTGTTCCTTTCCTTTTATTGTTGCGGAGCCAGAAATTTGTGCAGAGATCTGTAATCTGGAGAGTGTGATTGAGGCTGCTGAGATCTGTAGAGATGTACGGATGAGAAGCAAACAAATGGAAGAAAAGACTCGAGCCTTGGATTTCGTACAAGAAATGGGTTGGCTCCTTCATAGAAGTCGCATGAAAGCTAGGTTGGGTCCCATGGCACCTGTCCAGGATCTGTTTCATTTCAATCGGTTCAAGTGGCTTGTTGACTTCTGCATGGACCATGATTGGTGTGCTGTGATGAAAAAGCTTCTGGACATTATGTTTGAGGGTACTATTGATGCAGGAGAGCATGCCTCTGTCGAGCTTGCATTGTTAGACCTGGGTCTTCTACATAGAGCTGTGAAGAGAAATTGCAAGCCTATGGTGGAACTACTGCTGAAATTCGCACCAGTCAAATCTTCAGATGATGAAAGTAAGGACAAAGAAGTTGCCAAGTACTCTGACAGATTCTTATTTAAACCTGATAGTGTTGGCCCTGCTGGTTTGACTCCGCTTCATGTTGCGGCAAGCATGCATTGCTCAGAAAATGTGTTGGATGCTTTAACTGATGACCCTGGAATGGTATGTTCTTTCCTCAGTATGCTTACATTTTCTCGGTTTTCATTATAGAGAGGCTGACATGGAACAGACTGCAATTACATTTCCTATCCAAAGAAAATTATGTTGAGAGGTTTAGGATGTCAGTACATGTTTTTTTTTAACCTTAGGTAGCAAGACTCACTGGTTATGGCATTGGTCAGGTGGGAATCAAGGCTTGGAAAAGTGCCCGGGACAACACAGGTTTGACCCCAGAGGAGTACGCATCCATGAGGGGCTACCACTCCTACATTCAACTTGTCCAGACAAAAGCAAGCAAGAGAAGTGATGAAACTCATCATTATGTGCTTGACATCCCACCTTCCCTTGTAGATAGTAACACAAAGAAGAAGCAAAGGTCATCATCGAAAGTTTCAAGCTTGCAAACCGAGAAGATTAAAATGGCAGCAGCAACGATTGCACATCAGTGCGGACTGTGTCAGCACAAGCTGGCTCGTCACAGCACGAGGACAGCACTGGTTTATAGGCCAGCAATGCTATCAATGGTGGCCATTGCGGCTGTATGTGTCTGTGTGGCTTTGCTCTTCAAAAGCTCACCCCAAGTTTCTTATGTCTTCCAGCCCTTCAGATGGGAATCATTAGAGTATGGCTCAATTTAGTGTTTTTGCATATCAGGTGTTCTTTTGCAGCAAGCCTGCAATTTGTTTCTTTCATCCCTCATCTTCCTCCTCCTCCTCCCCCCTTAATCTTCTAACTTTTTGAAATGTGGGAGTCATAGTTATTGGTATATATAATATATATACATCAATGGCAGTTTTAGCTGTCATGAAAATATTTAGATGAGGGTGACTTCTTCAGCAATTTATGTTTATAATTGAGTAACTCATGCTATGGTATAAGGAATGTATGTAGTGATAGGATTGAGCTTGTAGAAATGTAGGAGAATGCCTTGTATTAGTCGAATAATATGAAAAGGGGTTTTCTGATGTGGGCTGGTAATATTAGTTATTAATGAGCTCGATTCCTTTAATTTTTTTTTCCTTTAACAATTGTAGCAAGTTTTTATTGATTTTGAATATGATATGCTTTATCTGACTCCTAAATGTTGTTATATAATGGTGTGGCGTTGAGAAACGAAGAACTAGTGCATTGAGTTGGCAAGGCTAATGTTGAGAAGCAAGATGGTACGCAACAAATATTATATTTTCAATAATATTTAGTATTCTAAACTAATTTTTTACGTAATTTTATTTTGAAAGTAGTTTTCTCACTAGTATTTTAACTTTAGAACAATCAGTGTTAATTAAAAAAAAAAACGAAATGTTGAATGTTGATTTTTTTTTTTTAACACGTATTGTAGATATATAATGAATTTCACATGATTATTCACCATCACCAAATCGCGATAATAGTGCGCTGAGGCTTAACAAAAAACCAGTACTCAAGGTCAAGACCACAAAAAAAAAAACCTAAAATGTCGTATGCAAAACATGATAAATCATTGTACTTCTCCTGTTATAAATATAATACTCTTATAATAAAGATATTATATTTAGGATCAGAGGAGTATCATCGTATCATTTTTTTAACCATATGACTTATGAATAATCAAAAACTAAGTCATGTAAGAAAAATATCTAATACTAACCTTAGTCTTTAAGATAAGAGTTAGATAACTTATTTAGAGAGATTGAAAAAATTAATTAAATTAATTATTTGTAACAAATACTATCTCCGGTCCTAATTATAAGAGCTAGTTGACTAATTTGAGGAGATTAAAAAAAGTTAGATTAGTTATTTGTAATAAATAGATATTGTCTTTCCTAAAACATCCTTGCTAATCAAGTGTATTGGCTGGAACTACTATTGTTAGAAGGATTATCATAGAAAAAATACATAAATGTGAGAGACAAAGTGAATTAGGCTATTATATTTAGGATTAAAATAAAAGACAAACAAGATCTTATATAAAGAACCGGAGATAGTATGTGTTAACTTTCTTAAATTATCGTTATTTAATCATGTATATTGGAACTTCAATTAGGTGGACATACTTTACAATTAATAAGAGTTTTTTAAAAAAATAAATTATAAATTTGAAAAAAAACACACGCGCAGGCGTATAGCATCAGGCGCCGTGTTCTGAATATACATGATAGTGATAATTGAGAAAGACAAGGTGAGAAGAGTAATTTGAGAGCTAGGATTTTGGGCAGAAGGGTAAGGCCAGCTCTGGGCTGAGGAGCGAGGACGCAGCACTGAGCTTCATGCTTTCCCATGGCTTCAATTTCTCTCTCCTTCTCTTCTTCCCTCCTTCCCTCCCCAATTTCTAAGGACAAATGCAAGATCCACCATATCCCTAATCCTGTAACCCACAACCCACCCCTTCGGATTATCCGCTGCGCCACTGCGTCTCCATCGTCGAAAACTTCTTCTTCTTCCTCCTCTTCGGTCGCTAAAAAGAGGCACTGGAAAGTAGGTGAATTTCCGGGTGTTTCCAAAACAACTTTACCTGGCAGTGAGAGGAGGACTCCAATTAAGAATGTGAAGAAGAAGCTGGACCGAAAGGTCAAGGCTAAGGCGTGGGTCAACACCGTCACTGAATGCTTGGCTGATAGAATTGATAAAAAACAGTGGCTTCAAGCTCTTGAGGTAACTCGGTGTCTCTTTCTTGAATTTGCTTCACAAATTAAGCATCTTTCTCTTAATATCTTGTTTACAACTCAAATGTGTAATGTTGTGCACAAGTTTTGATATTTTTTATATGCCAATAATCGTTGTTGACGTGGATATGTATATAAAGCAGTCGACACTCAACAATGACTCGCTCTGCGGTTAGTGTGACACAAAATTAAATATACATGGTTTAAGTGTGGTTTAAAGTGTTGCATTGCGAATGATAAAGGTAGTGACTAGTGAGCGCGATAAGGTTTCATTTTCATCTATCAATGCTTTAGAGTTTATATCAAATTGAGGTTTCTAGACTTTATTCATTTAGACTAATCTCGTGGCTGGTTTTTCCAATTGAAATTATTGTGAATTACTAATAGCTGAGATGACAATTTTCTATATGGCAACATATGGGTTAAATAATCTAAATGTGCAGGTATTCGAGATGCTCAGAGAGCAACCCTTTTACCAACCAAAAGAAGGGACTTACATGAAACTCATTGTATTGCTTGGACGATGTGGCCAACCTCAACGTGCACATCAGCTTTTCAACACTATGGTTGAAGAAGGTTGTCAGCCTACTTCTGAACTTTACACGGCTTTGCTCGCAGCATACTGTCGCAACAATCTTATTGATGAAGCATTTTTAACTCTTAATGAGATGAAGAAGCTCCCTCTTTGCCAGCCTGATGTTTTCACTTACAGTACTTTAATTAAAGCTTGCGTGGATGTTTTGAAATTTGATTTGGTTGAGTCGCTGTATGAAGAGATGGCGGAAAGGTCTATCACCCCAAACACTGTCACTCGAAACATTGTCTTAAGTGGATATGGCAAGGCAGGGAAGTATGATCAGATGGAGAAAGTGCTGTCAAATATGCTGGATAGTACAACGTGCAAGCCTGATGTGTGGACAATGAACACAATCATCAGTATCTTTGGTAACAAGGGCCAGATTGATATGATGGAGAGATGGTATGAAAAGTTTCGAAATTTCGGGATAGAACCAGAAACACGCACTTTTAACATTTTGATCGGTGCTTATGGAAAGAAAAGAATGTATGATAAAATGTCCTCTGTGATGGAGTATATGCGCAAGCTTCAATTTCCCTGGACAACTTCAACTTATAACAATGTGATCGAGGCATTCGCAGCCGTCGGGGATGCTAAACACATGGAATATACATTTGATCAGATGCGTGCTGAGGGTATGAAAGCTGATACCAAGACTTTCTGCTGCCTTATCGATGGTTATGCCAATGCAGGTCTCTTCCATAAAGTAATTAGCAGTGTTAACTTGGCTAAGAGGTTTGAGATACCTGAGAATGTCTCATTTTACAATGCCATCATCTCTGCATGTGCAAAGGCAGAGGATTTGATCGAGATGGAGAGAGTTTTCAACCGTATGAAGGATAACCAGTGCCAACCAGATGACACTACATACTCTATCATGATTGAGGCCTACAGCAAAGAAGGTATGCGTGACAAAATTTACTATTTAGAGCAGGAAAAGCAAATGAACACTGAGGATATAAACAGTGGGTAAGCTAGTGAATGAAATTCATTTTGTTCCTACTTAGAATTCAGAGTGCACTACATCCATACTTGTAAATGTCCTTCAATTTTTTCCTTTTTTTTTTTTTGGGGAGCAGCTCTAGTCTTTTTTCTTCCCTTTTGACGTTGAATGAGTTATCAGTTGAGTAATGAAGCTCCATTTTCTGGATGAATTATCAGAAGTCCTGCTTGACTTTGCTTTTCAAGTGTAGTTTTACTTTGGCATCCGTTGTACTTGGCAGATGATGGAATTTGGGTTGTTCTTTTACAGTAAGTTCCTCAACTAAATATGCTAGTTATTTCTAAAGAACTATATAACTAATTTGAGAATATTAAGAAAATGAGTTAAGTTGGTTAATTGTGATCTATGTATGCTGAATTTTCTCAACCATCTTCTTTAATCATATGCATTTGAATTATGTATTAGTGAAACTCCTTACAATCAATAAGGATATTTAAAAAATATATATTATAAATTTGAAAGACAAAATAAATTATATCTAGGATCAAATTCAACTCTTAACTAGCTTTTATATGAAGAACATGAGATAGTATTAACTTTTGTTTTAAGATGATTCATGGGCTGAATTGTACAACTAATTCTGCCTTTGACTGGGAAATCAGTGACCATGTCTTGTGGTGCGGCGTTAATGAAAATTTCATGGCATACAAGGAAATTTTTTATGAGATAAAAAGATATCAAAGTCGTGCATGAAGATTCTGAGCAACACACTGCTTGAAGGAGCAATCTGCATTATGCAATATGTAAAATTAAAAATGCGTGAGCAAATGGAAAGGCAATGAGAAAGACGGCTACAAGACGTTGGTCGAAATAACCTGTCAATGATCAGATGAAATGTTGAAATTCCTTTTGAAAATGAAAAAATGAATGGGCCTGCGGATTTGTTTCGAAAGGAATCATTTGACAACAAATAGAATCCCCGAAGCTTTGTTCACCAAAGCTGGTTCTTGACCACGGTAGAGAAAGTTAAAGCATTCCTTTCCCCATGGATGCCGTTTGTCTGTAGGATTTCCCTTGAGAGGGACAACATATTTTATGCAATTTGCTAACATCAAAGCATTATCTTTTATTTATTTCTTTGTTTTTACGCATTTTGCCACCATGCAAGCCAGATTTGGTAGATCTTGATAGTATTTTTACGATCACGAGGTTTGATGAACATGGTGGTGGGAGATTCCTTTTGCTCCTTGTGTGGTGGACAATACCATGAAGGTATTGAGACTTAGTAATTACCGTGTTCAAGAAACTTGCCAAAGGCATGTGTTATGTTTCCCTCATTGAGTCCTTTTGTCGAGTGTACCCCAACAGGAGATTTGTTAAAAGCACAATATTCATTCATTTTCATGTGTTCATTTTCTCTTTTTGCCTTTTTTTGAGACGACACGGGTATCCTCCTACTAGAGACAATCATGTTCTAGATATTAGATGTTAAATATGGACACTTCTCTTAACGAAAATTTAAATTTAAATTCGCTATATTTTGATATGTTAGCTCATCTTACTAAACCCAATTCTTGTTGGTCATATATTCATTATTAAAGTCTCCCAGAAAAATGTAATAAATGATTCTTCATTTTAAATTGCAGGCCGATCCTCCCAATTGGCCTACTTCAGGTATGGGCTACGACCCAATATACACTTGGGAGAACGGCATTTTAAATTCTTCAGTTTTTTTCCCCATGTTTTCCTCCCAGTTTGATGCTTAACAGCTAATGATAATTTTGAGATTAATGAACTAAATTCCCTTACTTCTATTGAGTGTAATTTTAGCCAACTTTATTAATTTACATAAAATTATTAATAGGTGCTAGTAAAAGAAGAAGTATATAATAATATCTAGATATTTTAGTATAAAGCATACACATATATCGATTTAATTATAATCAATTTAACATTCAATGAAAAATGAAAAAGAATCATGTTTTTGTTTTGATTCAAGGTCGCTGGCCGGCTCAATCGAATTGTTTGGGTCAAAGAAGTGATGGTTTGGATGATTAATTAATTAATTATATTAGATCAAATACTATAATGATGCCAACATATTATGGAGGTGATAGATGATGGTAGCGGTCCAGTCGTGCAGATTAGGGACTCCCAGATACGTACAAGTGGCACAAAAATTATGGGCATCTGAGAAAAATCGTCTCCAAAGAAAAAGGCGAGAAAATTTTCATAATTTTCTGAGCAAAACAAATATCAATTATGCTCTTTTTGCTTATTGCTTCTTGTAAATCCGAATGTAAGGTTTCAGTAGCTCCACCTGTTTGGATACTGAGAAAAACAATGCATCAACTTTCCTGACTCATGCATGGGCCAATATCAATTTATATTCTAAAAGATATTAGTGTCCTTATAGGAGAGTGACATAAAAAGCCAATTATTTTATTTTTTTTAAAGTTACAATATTCTTGAAGAGACTAATATAGCGTAATGTGCAAGTATTTGAATGGGATTTTTTTTTTGGTGTGGGTGAAGCATATAATATTTTAAATTATTTTGAACTTGAAACTAATTCTTATTAGGTAAGAAGCATTGAAGGTCTTTTTAATAGTGTTTTTTGGGATTCAAATCCGTAAAAGTGTGTCGAGTATTTTGATCTTATTTCTCAAATTTGCTTAATACACTAATCTTTAATATAATGCATCGACATCTTGATCTTATTTTCTTGTTGTATATGTTATTTTTCTAGTTAGATTTAGTATCATAATCTTTAAAGTGTTGAACGCACTAAAAATAAGATAAAGTGTTAAGTGTACGGAAAAAAAAAGATAAGATGAAGAAGCGGCTTGCGTTTGAATGGGATATAAATAAGGCGTTAAGCTTTTTTTTTTTTTTTTTGGGTAAACTAGAAGGCTAGAGCCTGTAAAAGCTAGCACAACCTAATGGGGACTAAATCCCAAACACTCAATATCAAACAAGGTCCTCAGATGAGGAGTACAAGAAGCAAAAAGAGAGGATAGATAAACCTCCCTTGGCCAACGCATATGCAAGCTGATTTTTAAGCTTTCTATTTTGATTGAGAAGCAAAATGTGAGTTTGCGAGAAAGAACCCGACCAGCATCAGCAGGCCATGCTTGGCAACATTGTAAGGCTGATCTGACTTTAGCTCTCACGAGTCGTGACTCTGTATTTCCTAGTTGTAGCTGAAAATGCCCCCAAGAATCATAATTTTGTAGGGAGGCAAAGTTTTATGGCTTGATATAAGTAGCTTGTTAATCATAATTTACAAAATATGATATAAATATATAAAAAGAATTTTATCTTGATTTAAATTAAACGTGTCTGTAAGTGCGTATAATTGCCATCCAGACGAGCGTGATAGTTAGACTGGACCCAAGTAGAGGACAAAGGGTCTGCTTTATTTTTGTAATGGAGACGGTACATGCACTGATGTTTTCTCCCGTCCCCCTTTTTGGGCAAATGAAGACAAAGGAGGAAAATAGATGGATCATTAGGCCCAGGATCAGAGAGCGAGGGGCTGCCACGCGGATGATAATCCCAACTTTAACTGTCCATAACTGCCCATCGATGCATCCACTATGAAGTTTACTTTTAAAAAAACATAAAAATCTCTAGAGTGGTGGCAACAACCTTAAAAAGTGGATTTTTTTTTTTGTTGCCATCCTAATTATTAACTTGCTTTGATTAAGCGTTTTGAAAATTATAATTAAACTTTAAGAACCTTACTATGAAGTTTACTTTTAAAACAACATAAAAATCTCTAAAGTGGTGGCAACAACCTTAAAAAGTGGATGATGACATGCTCACTCCGATACTTGGTATAGAATTTAGTTGACTAATTTAAAGAGATTAAGGAAATTAAATAAATGACTTTAAAGTATTATATTTATCATTTCTTAAAATTAATTTGTTCAATTTATAAACAAATTTATAATCTAATAATACACATAAGTATTTAGGAAAGATCATCTAATATATATTATAATTAAATAATTTTTTTAACTTTCTTAATTTTTTTAAATTAGTGAATCAGATCTTATATTAAGAATCAGATGTAGAATTTCTTTTTTTTTTTCCCCGACTGACTCCTTATTTGGATCAACAAAAGGAAGGGATTTCAGCGACGTCTTGTTTGGTTGGAGGGAATTTTAATGATTATGAATTATGGTAGATGCTAGAGGAAGGAAAACCCTAAGGGTGTGTTTGGTATGAGGGATTTGGGAGGGAGGGGAGGGAAGGGGAGGGATTTGAATCATTTCCCCTTGTTTGGCAACACACAAATTTAAGGAGGGGAGGGAAAATTTTTTAAAATTTCCCCTCCCCTCCACTCCTCAACCTTCCCTCCAAAATTGAGAGGATTTGGAGGGAAAGGGCAATATTTTGTCATATTATGACCATTATGCCCATATTTTGTCATGTTGTAACTATTATGTCTATATTTTGTCATGTTATGACCATTATGCCCACGCCTTAAATAAAATAAGAGCAAAATTGTTCATATTAAAATATTTTTTCCTCCCCTCCCCTCTTTTTTTATAAATCCAAACAAGATAATATTAAAATCCTTCCACTCCCCTTCCCTTCATTAAAATCCTTCCCCTCCCCTTCCCTCATTGAGCCAAACATACCTTTAAGTGATTATTTGTATTTCCTAGCACCTTCATGTGGTTTTCATTTTTCATATTCCAAGTCAGAGTTCCTCTTTATCTAACTTCCGTATTCATTTTGGTTTGTTTTTTAAGAGTCCTATTCTACCAAGAATACGTTTGGAAGATTTGAAATTTAGGAGAAGACAAATTACGCGTTGTTTGAAACCATAATTGGGAAAATATGTCTGCAAGAGAGTCAAAAATTAAAAAAGAAAGAAAATGAAGTAACGCATGAAGATGTGGGACAAGACATTAATGCCCACCAAGCTCGTCTATCCTCAAACTACACATACTGAGCGCACTTCCTGAACTTGTGCTGGATTTAAGGCCACCATCCTATTCATGGCACTTGCACTCCCATTATGGTATCACCGACATGAATCTCAGGACAATGAATTCAATTGATCAGAAACAGTGAGCATCGTCTCACCATCCAATTAATCCAACGGTCATATCAAGTGCCATGATGCATTTTGGACCCTTAGTCATTAACATATGCCATTTTCATTATACTAGGGAGTTCTTTTTATTTTGAGATAAATTAAATATGTGAGAAAAATTTTGTTTCTATTAACATAAATAAATACTTTTGGGATATTCAATTGTGATCCCAAACAAGTATCAATCCAATTTT